GTGTCAAATTTCCCTCATGTATTTCAAAAATTGTTTTACATATTTCTGGCTTAACCTATCTTGACATCAGTGAACTTAAGGCTTGTAATTGAAGGATAAGTGAGCAAAAAAGCAGCTGAAGTGATAATATATCCATTTCAATCCCTATTTTCTGGACGAAGACCTTTTATGCTAAGTTCATGCGAGAGTAAATTTTTATGACAAAATTATAACTCTCAGATAGATAGTTCTCAGGCAGGCTGAGATCTGTCCTGATATAATAGATTTGTGACAATGAAATGCAAGAGAGTCTCCCAAAAGCTTTGCCTAAGGAAATTCTGACAGTAGCCTATATGCTGCCGAAATTTTCAAGATGCTATTATGACTCATTACAGAAAAATGGGTTGGTGTTTTAATCATGAAATATAACTGTGTTAAGAAGAGAAAGAAGTGTAAAGGCATCATCTTTGAAATATTGTCATGTATTCATATTAGCCTCAGTGTTTAGAAAATGTTGCTTTTAATGTGATTTATACAATAAAGCCTTTTAGGGCCCATGTATTTGTTTTCCCTAATTTGAATTCCATTCATAATTTTCTGTATGTCACCAGCTGAATGAAAAGGTGGCATTCTCCACAACCAGAGGTAATCGAAACTTCATATTATTCCTGTTAGTTTGTTCTTCCCTAAGTGGTAGTATACAGCTTCTTTTCCTATTTCAATGGGTTCATTTTATTGAAATATGTAAAGTTGCCTCAAAATATTGTACCATCACAGTTAAAAATAATACATCATTTATAAGGTCCACAGTATTACAACAAATGCATTGGCAGAATTTAGTCGTTTTGTAAAATTTTATGATTTTTTTTTGGCGGGGCTGCTGGCCGGTATGGGGATCTGAACTCTTGACCTGGTGTTATAACACCACACTCTAACCAGCTGAACTGACCAGCCAGCCCAATTTTAGGATATTTAATTTTCCTGTTTTTGATCATTGGAACTGTTCTATATTTTCCAGACATCTAATGGACATCTCATGTATTTTGAAGATCATTAAAAAACAAATAAGAAATCAATAGCAACAAATAATCACAACAACAAAGGAAGCAAATGACTATACAAACTCTAAGGTCCCCAGAATTGGAGTTAATTTTTACTTTTATGTGTGAAAATATTATTTCAAATTATGTTTGATTTTGTATCAATTGTGATTAAACTTTTTGGTCAACACTCCCGTATTGTAAGAATCTGGTGAAAACTCTGCATGCGAGAAAATGTACAGAGGCACGTGCACCCATTGCTTTGCATCCCATCATAGCAGAGCCGGGAGAAGAACCTCACTCGAGATAAGCAATTGTACTAATTGTTTCTACCACCCAACACTTACCTCAAATAGGAATCACCTGAGCCAAGTCCCTCTAAGACAAGCATACTTTGTCCCAAATGTAAACACAATGGAAATCAGTGGGTTAACTTGGTGAGCATCTATTATCTCAAATTCTAACAACAATCTAGGAGATAAGCAGGGCAGACAGAGGGTCTCGTATTGAATATCATTCAGTGGCCGATTCAGGATTCCAACCCAAAGCTACTGATTTCCAGTTCCGTGATTTTCCATAACACTGTGTCATCCTCCAAGGATTTCCATCCAAGACACATCTGGCTGTTATAGAAATTGTCCCTGGCCTGCTGCATCAGTTAGGATTAGGTTTGATTAGGAGGAACAGAAATCCAAATCAACAGTGGCTTAACTAAGGAGGACCTTCATTTCTTTCTCACATTTAAGTCCTCAGGTAGGTGGTCCAAACCTTGTAGCATCTCTGCTTGGTGAAGCACTAAGAGACAAGGCTCCTTTCATCATTTTCTCTGGTTTAGTTCTTAAGATTATGTCATGATTCAAGATGGCTGTTCAGCATCATTCATCATAATTTTATTGCCATCCAAGACAAGAGATGAAAAAGAAGGGCCAAAGTTCATGTTCCAGAGGTCTTTGAAGTTAGCTTCCAACTTTGCAACATGATGCTTCCTTTTACAACTCATAGGCCAGGAGAGTCCAATATCTGCCCCTATTTGCAAGGGAGTTTTGGAAATAGAGCTTTTACCTGGATGACCATGTGTTTAGTTCAAAATAGGGAGACCTGTTACCAGGGAGAATAGCGTGGAGAAAGAGGGAAAGAGAAAGAGGGAAGAATGGTTTTTAGGGGACAACATGCAGTCTCTAAAGTCCAGGTGGTCAGGCACAGTTTCTGGACTCTATTGCTTCTTATAGATGCTCAAATAAATGAGTATTCAACTAAGATTGCTTACTGTAGCTGCTTTGATTTATTTGTATCTGGGTAAATTCAACATTAATTTAATACTACAACACTTCCTTGTAGACCAATGCATATTCTCTTTTAGGAAAACTCCCATTTACATTTTCTATAGTAAAGATAAAAGGTTAGCTCATCCTACTAAGAACTACATGGTGGGATCGAGAAGAGTTCTGTGTCCTTCACCTTTTCCCAAGGAAGGCCCAATGTTCATCCACTTGGAATGGTCAAAATAATTTAAACATTTTTTTCTGTGAGGATAAGGAGGCCACGGAAGAATATAAGAGCATAAAAAACTTGCATGTTTTCAGTGACATGTTCTAAGTTTTGCTGGGGATTATTACTTCATTTTTTTCATTGAGAAAATCAGTCATAGATATTTATGTTGAATGAGAAACAGAAACTCTTGTCAATAAGCCTAATGTTTACTTAGCCAATGAGCACTTCTGTGATCTAAAATGTATTCAGTATGTAGGATGTGGGGAGGGTACTTCTGCTAATACATTTAAAAATTGGGTTGGAGTTATAATGCTTACTGAAAACTCATTTATTTGCATTAGTAAAAATAATCAACAAGATGTTTAATTTTCTCATATAATAGAGGGGTGAGTCTCAGATACTAGAGATCATTGCCATAAAATAACAAATTTTCAAAATATGAAGCAATGCCCCTTGAGTAAATTTGGTAGTAAGAAAATTGAAAAAGAAATGATGATTTAGAAGATCTTTTTTTTGTAGGATATCCTGTCAAGAATATTGTAAGAGACAGCATAACTTTTAACTTGGGTACAGAGCCCTTTCACTGATAAATGAGAAATGGCAAAAGAAGAATTGTAGCACTGACTACCCAAACTTTCTCATTAATAAAATGAAATTTTAGTTTTTTCACCGTAATGTTGAGATTTTTCTTCACATATTTATTTTCACAACATTAAATTTTTATTTTGATGTTTGTACATATTTGTGGGGTACAGTGTGTTGTTTCAGTACATGCATATACTACACAATGATTCTCTTAGGGTACATGGCATAGCTTAGCCCACCATTTCTCCTGCCCCCACACCCCATGCCCCTCCCCTCCTTGCCTCTGGCAACTATGATTCTATTTTCTACTTCTATGAGAACCACTTATTTTTTTTTTTTTTTTAGATTCCATGCATGAGTGAGATTGTGTGGTATTTGTCTTTCTGTGCTTAAGCAAAATAACCTGGGATGCCAATCAAGAACTATTCACTTATGATAAGGGATGGTCTTGTTAGGATTTTTGACTTTTAGTCACTCAGGTAATTTTTTTCTGATTGAGAAAAGAAATATTAAACTGCACAATAGCTCAAGTAAATTGTGTATAAAACTTTTGTGTCTTTTATAAAACGAATAATGGATGGACACAGGACAATATTGAATTGAGATTATCTCTCTCACCTCCTCTACTAAAATCCCAATGGAATTAGAGATATTTATGTGAGTTGTAGGGTTAGACTTTATCTCGGTCCTTTCTGCGTTGAGTGAGTGTGAGTGCGTAATTCCCATATGGCATGTTTAATGGAACAAATTTATATTCCCACATTTGAAGCCAGTTAGGGATGCTAAACGTTTAGATATAGATATTTATAGAGTTTTTTATGAGATAATGTAATCTCATAGCCCCAGTTTTGTCTTTTATTTTCTTGATTCTGTCACCTATTGCTTCTCCATGGGTAAAACAATTTTGTTAGTTTGTATTCGTTTCCCCAAGACATGTGAAACTTTTACCTACTTCATGACTGTTAGAAACACCATCACTTTGTAGATTTGATGGCATCCTTTCTTTTACGGATCCCTACAGGATTCATGAGGAATAAACCCAAGTTATTTGTTGACTTGATTTCTCCGGACATTTCAAGGTCATTGAAAATTGTATCCAGAGTGTTCTGAGAAGCAAATTTATGGGAAGTCAAGGAACTCTACTTGTCCCTCAAATTCTGGTCAGCCTGTGGTGGGCATCTGTGTTCTGGATTTCTGGACTGTAGACGCCTCCACCATTGTCTCTTGATCAAGCATCGAGGGATCAGTGTTAGGGAGAAGGTATTTTGTAGCACCATCTTAAACAATAGGATTATAGACAGTATAAATGTAATGAGCTACTCAGACCGCCTGTGGTCAGCATGACTTTCTCTTCTGAACTTGTGATACATTTCCAGGCTTTCTTTCTGTCCATTAGGAGGGCAGGAGTTACAGCTGACCAGACTGCCTTGGCTGTATCTGTTACTGCCAAGAGATGTTTTGGCATGTAATTTCCTCTGATTACAGCAAGTTAAATTCAGCTATTTTGAATTTACTGTACATTATGTTGATGAAAACTGGTTGTGTAAGGCACTGAGATTCATCTCTGTACGAACCATTTTATTTCCTGATAGGACATCCTTTTGATATTTTAAAGATATAAACAATGTCTATTTCTATCAGAAAAAAATACATAGTTATGTTGATATGTTATATATAATTATGTTTTTGAAAACAAATTTTTTCTGTATTAACAGAACGAATAAGAAGCATTAATTTTGATTATTAATGCTAATAGAGAAATGCAAAGAATATAGTTTATCAAAAACAGAAGATGTATTTTTAAAGCGTTGCTGTATTAACAGAACGAATAAGAAGCATTAATTTTGATTATTAATACTAATAGAGAAATGCAAAGAATATAGTTTATCAAAAACAGAAGATGTATTTTTAAAGCGTTGGAATGCATTTTATTTTTTATTATATTAGCACATGAAATGATGAAACCACGTGGTGAAAATCTGATTCTGGAGAAAGTGAAGGTTTTCACTTCTTTTTTGTGCCCCCTGTATATCACTTTTCAAAGTACTCAGAATAATGGTTTCTGCTGGGTTCAAACTTATTTGGAGCAAAGAAAGCTAGTTAAAAGACTTCACTTAAAGCTACTTTGTTAGGGTGCTACTGAGAGTAAATAAAAAGAAATAACACAGGACTTAAGTGAGCAAGAGGAGAACCTATTCAGGTGGTGTGAAAGCTGCATCTAGGATATTTGAAGATTGACTTTCTGGTGAAGGGCACACACAAAAAAGATTAACTGGCTTATTCCAAACGGAGGACAATTCTTTAGGAAGCATGCTTGAGGATATACTTGGCAATAAATTTGACAGCTAGCATGGTCTCTTTACAGGTTGGCTTTATCTGAGATTCTGAAAGGAGAAAACCAAAATAGCCTTTATCTCGGAGCTCAAAGGCAAATGTGTGTTTGATTCCCAGATCATAAGCCCAGTCTAAAGAAGAACCCGATGTTGGGTCTGCAAAACATAAGCAGTAAATATTTAATTAGAGTTAAATGCTAATGTTTTTCTTGAAATGAAAGTCACTGGTGTAAAATTAGCAATAAAAAACAATTATGTGTAGAGTTAATTGCAGTAATGAATAAGAGTAGTGGTCTTAATAGTACAGAGTGTGTAGTAAAACATAATCATGACTTTGGAATACACCATACATTTTAAATACATGCTGCATTTTAAAAATTACGTTTTGGTTGGGCCAGTACTAAACTGAGTTCATCTCCTGGGCGAACATTGTTGCAGATGGAAGTGTTCCAAGCAAGTGCAAGCAGCTGAGGAAACCAGCTAAGAAGTCATTGCTGGTCATTGAAAACCACCGAGGAAAACTACAGACACGAGCTCTACAAAACTGTGTTCTTTCTAATAGGTTAGGCTTCTTGCTATTCATGTTACTAGAGTAAACTATTTTATAGTTAGAAGACCAAGAGAGCTTAAATCTATTATTTTAAGGACATTTCATCCCCTAATCCAAATTTTCCATGTCAATTTTACACTACTTTACTAGATATGTTATTATTTGGTAAAAAGATTAGAAATATAAACATACATCTGGAGGTTATATACACATAAGACACCTATATATATGCACACATCTAGTGTTTATATACATATACAAGGGCATATACTTACTATAAATGCATTTATTTATATTTTACCTTATGTAGTAAAATATTTTTTTGTACATAAAATCATTTATGTTCTAGGACAAGTAATGAGTTTAATTGATATTAACATTTTAGGTTTAAAAGATAAGAATTCAAAACTGATGAAAAAAGAAAGAGAGAAGGAATATTTTGGTGGAAGGAGATAGGGTTATTTAACAAATATTATTAAAACCTTTAATATGCACAATATACTTTACTTGGCACTGGAGGGGGTGTACAGGGTATGAGGTGAAGAAGACGCTACTAGTGTCTTTGGGAACTTACAATGTAGGGGAGAGAAATCAAGGTGCAAATCAATAGAGACAATGCAAAAAATGCTCAGTACCGTAGGAAAGCTACACTATACGACGATTTAAAGGAAAAGAGAGATTATGCTTGGTGAAGAGAATGGCATTTCATGCCCAACACCTGCTCCAATACTGCATTCATAATGGAGATGGTATTTGAGGACAGCCTTAAATAAAGGCTAGTATTTTTCCAGGTGAAGATGGAAGAAAGGCATTCTAGCCAGGGAACAACGGGGATGGAAAAGCATGGAGGCATTTTTAGAAACCTGTGTGATCCAGTTGGACTGCAGCAGAGGGAGTAGTGAAAGGATGTAGACAAACCTTGTAAGTCAGGACCCAGTGTTTAGATTTTGTTTGGGAGTTAATAAGCCATTTTAGCACTTTAGGACAGTGAATCTGGATTGGAAAGAGTAGAGACCAGCTAGGAGGTATTGTGAAGTGAAGCCTGAACTTGGGTAGGGTCACCACACTGGGAACAATACTGAGGGGCTCTAAAAAACATTGGAACGGAAGAATCACAGAATGTGATAAAAATGATTGAAGTTTCAGTCTCTGTGGCCAGAAAAAGCAGCCCATTGTTAACAGAAACAGGAACTCAGAGAGAGTTGGGAGAGGGAGAAGAAAGGGCAAAAGAAGACAAAGATTGATGTTTGTCATCAATCAGACACTCAGGAAGGAGCATGGGAAAATGAGTTTTGAAATTACTGACAGAAGCATCATGGGTGAAACTGGTGTGCACACATTTACAATCATGATTTTCTTGATAGATTGATCATTATATCATTATCATTATTAATGTCTCTTTGTCACTTGCAATTCCTTTGCTCTAAAATTCACTTTATCTGACTGTTAATTTAGCCACTCTTCATTTCTTTTTGTTAATGTTTGCATATATTTTCTATCCTTTTTCATTTCAACCTATGTTGTTATATTTGAAATGAGTTTCTGATAGGCAGCATATTGATGAATCATGACTTGATCCACTCTGCCAATCTGTCTTTTAATTAGTGTATTTAGGTAAATTATTGATATAACTTAAATCTGCCATTACTTAATTTTTGTTCTCTCTGATTTTCATTCCTTTATTTATCTTTTTTGCCTTCCTCTTGGTTACATAAGCATTTTTAGAATTCCATTTTGATTTATTTTTGGTTTCTTTGAGTATATCACTTATATAGTTTTCTTTGTGGTTGCTCCAGGTACTATAATATACATATGTAACTTATCACAGTCTGACATTTTTAGAATTCCATTTTGATTTATTTTTGGTTTCTTTGAGTATATCACTTGTATAGTTTTCTTTGTGGTTGCTCCAGGTACTATAATATACATATGTAACTTATCACAGTCT